CTAAAGCCAAGTCATAAAGAATAGTTGTTGTCTGACTGTGTGTTAATCACTGTGGCCTTTTACGTGAAACAGCTTCAACTATGGCGCCCGCCCTTTGAATTTGACCAAAACTATGTGATATGAAACATAATTTTTTTCCGTACTGGAGATAATCTACACTGTCCTGCCTCTTTCAGCCACCAGAAGGCTCCCTCGGTAAAGCTGCAGAGTGGCCTGCTTTTCCACTGAGGTGCTGAAAACAGCCAACCAGGTGCAGCCCTCCATTCCATCCACTGTCTTCAAGGACAAAGACGAAGCTGCTGCCACATTTCTCATCCACAATTTACTCCACGCATCTATCAAAATGTTTCAGTGTGTTGATCTAATATTACCCACGTATTACTGTACGTCTCTTTGGTGATGGCTGTAGACGGTGAAGGTAACTGACAGGTGGAGTGACAGAGCAGTCAGGCCATATTGCAGCCCGGCAGTCGCCGGTCGCAGCGACGGCTCCTTTGTAATGAGGATGTAAGGTTGAGTCGCCCCGTGACCTTTACGGCGAGCAGGGGGTCCAGATGGATTCCTGGGGCAACTCAGGTAGGAGGGGGGATTTACAGTCCTACCCCAATCTTTTCCTCTCTTCTCTCTTCTTTTTAACCACTGCCCCCCCCACCACCACCTCCACCCTCTTTTTTCCTTTTTCTCTTTTCTCTTTTCCTCCTCCAGCAACAACATCATCCATTCCCATCAGCTCCAACACGTGAGTGAGCTCAGCTCAAGAGGCAAATGTCAATGGCTATCAGACGGCTGGAAAAGGTCAGGAGTTCAGATGGGGAGCAGTAAACTATGAGTGTGTGTGTGTGTGTGTGTGTGGGCGCCTGCGCACATGTGAATGTGTTTTTTTTATGTGTGTGAATCAAAAGAGGAAAATTGAAACACCCCCGCCCCTCCTCCCCCAGTATGAATCTGACAAAAAAACAGTATATTCTAAGCAGATGGAGAGTCTAATGAGCCTGAGACTGATTTATTCATTCCCTGCAAGTCCCCGAGTGCAAAACTAAAAGCATGAAATGGATTAAATAAATACAATTAATAAGGGAAATCAAACAATTCACTGTGCTTGGCATAATTAGCCTAACCACAGCCATCAGCTTTATTTATTTCTGTTTAGTAATAGCAACCGAATCGATTAGACCTCAATGCCAGTCAGGCTGCTTGTTGTGAACTCTGCAGCCGTGGACAATACATTAACATAATCACCTGACAGAGGCAATAGGCCTCTATTACAATACATCACACGTGTTCCCAACGCAGAACACACACACAGAAAAAACCCTGTTCTATGCACTTTTTCAAAGCTTCCGTAGCAACAAAGGCACGGAGTGGGTCCAGCACCGGGGCTTTCTTTTTCTGTGGACAGTCACAGATTAGTATCTATAAAAGGAAGATGGCCATCATCTCATCTTGATCATTACCGACAGACTTAATTGAACAATGAGGGGACACAATTCCCCCTCTCTCTCACTTCCTCCCTCCCTCACCCCCCGTCCCTCCCTTCCTCCCTCCTTTCCTCCCTCCTCCATTCTCCTTTCCTTCCCTTTGTGCACTCTCTTGTATAATTCCTTTCCTGAGATGTGGGGCACTAAACCCAAAAAGGCAAGGCATAAAAAATGAATACGTATCATAAACAATTCTCCAGCCATTTTCCTGAATAATAAATGGGACTCCAAGAATAAGCCCTTTTGTTTTGATTATTGACAAAATTAATTTCTGTTGTTTTCCTTAAGAGCTGGCTCGTGCCGACCGCCAAACTGCCGGCTGTTTGCAGACAACTGCAGTGTAAATAAACATGACGATTAAGCCACCCACTCGTAGTGGCAGGATGAAGGTGCACACACACACACATACCCTAAACTCACACACACACTGGCAGACTACCCTGAGCACCCGGGCTGGCGCCCTGTGAGTGCTTTTAAATGAAAACATGTTTAATTAATGATGTTGAAGTATTCTGTCACAATTAGGAAGATTTACGGTCAAACAAGGCAGCAGTGATGTCCCTGACAGCCATGATGAAAGTTCAGCCGTCTTCCCTCTGACTGGCAGCTAACAGCCAACAATGAACTGGATCTACTTCCCATCAATACAGTAATGCAATACACTCTGCAGCACTCTGCTGCTGTACATATGCGTGTTTGTGAGTACGCCTCTCGGTACGTGTGTGTGTGCGCGTGTGTGTGTCTTTCCTCGTCCAGCTCACTCCCACATCACATGACCCCAGAGAGAGGCAGGCAGTGGCTGCTGTGTCTATCGATTGTGTGGGCACACGTCATCTAGGGTTTCAGCAGTTAATAAATCAGGCCTGTTCCTGACACAACCATGGATACGCGTGTGCGCGAGTGTGCGTTTGTGCGTGTGTGTGGGCTGTCACAGACCAGTCAGCAGGAGTGAAAGCGACAGCCACATGATAATGTAACATCACCACCATTCATCCCTGCCACACAGCATTCTGAGACAAAACAACAACCAGGAACCTGAAAAAAAGCAGCGTGATTTACAGCAGACATGACAAGTATCACTAATACAAATCCTCCCCTCGCTGCTCCTTCAAGGAGTTCAGCTTTCTGCTCTCATCTGCATCTGATGCCGCCCAATAAAGCAGTCTTCCTACGAGCCCCGGCATTGTTCCATATTTCACGCTGACCCCCGCTGCAGAGTTACACTACAGCACTCAGCAGCGATGCCATTATCATTACTGAGGTTTGCATTATTTCAGATTTACTGATAATGAGGTCATTTCTGCTGAACTGAATCAGGGCCTTAATAAAGAACGCACACTCTATATGAAATTCCAATTGGGTCTATGCTACAGAAACAACTGCATTCTTCTATATGGTGTGTTACTAAAACAGTGCTAAAACTAATCTTTGATTTAGTTTTTCCATATGGAGTTTAAAGCTACTGCATTCACCTGGTCTGCTGTGGACCACAAGGAGATTATCATTGAATTTTTGCATTCAGGTTTCCTATTACTGTGTTTGTTACAGCGGTTTGTTTTTTGCCCTGAATGACCCTGACAGAAAAACAATAAATAGTGTCTGTCCTGCTCCGTCAGCTTTTGCGAGATTTGACATCAAGAGCAGCAAAGTTGTACGAGGAAATGAACACCAGCAGTAACAATGTTACTGTGGATACTGTTGTATCTGGATCTTTGGATTCTCTCTGAGAATAAATGGTTAAATATTTAAAGCGAACTCCTAGACGAGGTTTGACAAGAGTTGTCCATTTTTCTAGTTGAGTTTGACAAATAAAACCTGGGTTAAAATTTTTTGGCTCTTGATTTCACCTCTATGTGGAAAATAATTTCCAGTCCAGTCAATTTTTATAGTCATGTGACTGCATGCACAGTACGTCAGGACACTATCATTGACTCCTTAAACAACATCGTCTGTGATTATCATAAAAAAACCAATTGCTTC